CATATCGAAATTGTTAGTGCGGTTTTACAGCGGTTGCGCAAGAAAGGGTTAGAACTGAAAATGAAAAAATGTAGATTCGGGTTTTTTGAAATTGAGTTTTTGGGATATATGGTGAATAAAACTGGTATTCGGCCCCACCCAATGCACATTGAAGCCATTCGCAATTTTCCACAACCCCAAAATTCTAGAGAGGTTCAGCAATGCTTAGGCTTGTTTTCATTCTTTAGACGATTTGTTCGGTCCTTTTCTTCGGTTGCAAAACCCCTGACGTCCCTCCTTAAGAAAAATACAATATTTAAATTTACACCCGAATGCATAGAGGCTTTTAATAAACTTAAAGAATGTTTAACATCTGCCCCTGTACTATCGATATACAGCCCGGTTAAGGAAACTGAGCTTCATACGGATGCTAGCAAGTTAGGTTTTGGTGCGATTCTTTTACAAAAGCAAGAAGATGGTAAATTTCATCCGGTATCTTACTTTTCTAAAACTGCATCTGAGAGTGAATCGAGGTTACACAGCTTTGAACTGGAAACTTTAGCAATTGTATATGCTCTGGAAAGATTTAAAACGCAGCTTAAGGGCATTGCCTTTACTATAGTTACGGATTGTAATGCTTTGGCTCAAACTTTAGATAAAAAACAAGTGAATTCTCGGATAGCTAGATGGGTTTTTACCTTTGAGAACTATAATTATAAAGTGAAACACCGGGCAGCGATATCCATGGCTCATGTTGATGCGCTTAGTAGGTGCTGTACAGTGGTGTTAGATGGGATTGAGGATATAGATTTTAACCTACAAATAACTCAGAATAGGGATGAAACGATTAAATTGCTAAGATCTAAGTTGGAAAATGGACCGGTCCAGAATTTTGAGCTTATTGATGGTCTAGTATTCAGGAGAAACAATGAAGGGCATACGATGCTTTACGTTCCCAAAGAAATGGAAGATAATGTTATTAGAGTTATTCATGGAAAAATCGGTCATATGGCTGTGGAAAAGACTGTGGATCAGTTACGAAAAAA